GATGAGGCACTCCTCGTGCCTCTGCTTCCCTATGGATGCACCAGAGCTAATACTTACCGGCATACCCCGGAGGGCATCGGGGTGCTCTGTTCCCAAGGGTGCCATGGGCTGCCGGCACCCTGCCTCCTCCTCCTGTCTGCAGTGTATTATTGTTTGGCTCCAGCAGCAGCTGAGCCTGGGTACAAGGCCCGGGATTGTGCAGCACAAGGGCTCTTTCTCTCCTCCCTCCCCTTCCCCAGGCTTCCCCAGCTCGGCTTCCCAAAGCCAGAGGGGCCAGGGCTGTGGCATCCTGGGATGCACAGAACCCGCTGGGAATGGAGACACTCACCATGCCCCAGACCCAGGGCACCTTCCATACCACTTCCCAAGCGGCCAGAAACCAGCATGAACCCAGGCATGTGTGACCCAGCACCCGCTGGGTGTGCAGGATCATTCCCATTGGTCCCAGTGAGGTTTCGGGGAGCAGCACTGGCCAGGAGGAGCTCTGGTCCTGCCCCATCCAAGGCAAACAAGCGGGAGGGGTTCCAGCGCTCCCCATAGCGCTGCCTTTGTTCCCTGTTTGCTCTCCGGGGTGGCAGTGCCAGGACAATCCCCCTTTGTCCTCGGTGCCACCACTGACCTTGCTCCCAGTGGAGAGGGGAGGGCGCTGCTGGCCAGGACCCCGCGGCTTGCTTCTTGTCCTTCGACGGAGGAGATAAGCACTGTGGGATGCGTGGAGAGAGCGTGGGTTTGGGAACGCTTCCCATGAGTGCCTGTTTTGACATTCAAGGCAGAAACACTATGTACAGATGGGATGTGTCCAGGCAGCCGCTGTGCCCAGGACAGTGGAGTGCCCGAGCCTGCATCCTGGGGAAGGGGAGCCGCTTCCCTGTGCAGAGGCCTGGCACAGGCAGGGCAGCAGCGTGTCGCAGCTTAGTTGGAGCCAAACTGATGCTCCAGAGCCAGATGCTGGTGCAAACCCACCTGGTTGCTCATCCCAAATGAGACAGGAAAGCTGCTGGCTGAGCACCTCCAAACCCAACCCGTCAGGACCCTGAGCTAATGATGCTGCACATTAGAGCCCTGACACGCAGAAGGGGCCTGGCACAGGCAGGGCAGCAGCGTGTCGCAGCTTAGTTGGAGCCAAACTGATGCTCCAGAGCCAGATGCTGGTGCAAACCCACCTGGTTGCTCATCCCAAATGAGACAGGAAAGCTGCTGGCTGAGCACCTCCAAACCCAACCCGTCAGGACCCTGAGCTAATGATGCTGCACATTAGAGCCCTGACACGCAGAAGGAGCAGGGCATCTGTCCTGGAGGACTAAATCTATTACACAAGTGCCAGAACTAACACGGCTCCTCTCCACAACCACATCACCCTGTGCAATGGGGCTGCTGCAGCCCAAACTGCCTTCAGGGTGCTGTGAGAGGGGACAAGTGCCCCCCAGAAGCCCAGGATGCTCGGGGTGCATGCCAGCTCCTCCCTCCCTGCCCCAGGGCCAGGCCACGTTGCTGGGTCTCCACCGGGCTTGTCTCTGTGGAGGTGCTGGGTTCCCCTCCATCTTCAATGCCAAAAGCAAAATGCTGGAGCCAACACTGCCTGCAGCCGGGCTGTGCCAGCACCAGGGAGCCCATTAGCAGCTTGTTTGCTGGGTCCCCCTGGCATCCTGCTACATCACCTTGTGTTTCCACCTCGTTGCACAAGGGTGGCACAGGCTCACTTCAGCTCCCATCCACCTCACACCCCGGAGCTGCCGTGCAGCCCCAGTGCTCCCCCCTTCCACCACCCCTGCCCCTGCTCGGGTGCGATCCTGCACCGCTGCTTGAAGGGCTCTTGGTGGAGCTGCTCTTTGTCTCTCCAGCACCACAACCAACCATCTCTGGGTTTTCCTCCAAGCTGCTTCCCTCTGCCTGCTCCTGAGCTGCAGGCCCCGAGCACTCCCCATCCCAGCAGTCCCGTCCCACCTCAACGCTCTTCTCCCCTAGGTTTGCTCGAGTGCTGTGCCAGATGTCTCATCGGGGCACCCTTTGCTTCACTGGTTGCCACTGGCTTGTGCTTCTTTGGGGTAGCGCTGTTTTGTGGCTGTGGGCACGAAGCCCTCACAGGCACCGAGCAGCTCATTGAGACCTACTTCTCCAAAAACTACCAGGACTACGAGTATCTCATTGAAGTGTAAGTACCCTGCTATGGTGCATTGCCCTCATGCCAGAGCCCCTTGTGTCTCTGCCTTGCTCTGTGCCAGGACGAGGTGTCTGGCCAGGATAATGCTCTCACCCCATGGAGACCCCAGGTTGCATTTGCCATGTGCCGGTGCTACGGCTGCATGAAACAAGTCTAGAGGTGGCTTGTTTCTGTTCCATGCCTGTTTTTATCTGACCCTGGCTAGAGCTGGACCCCTGCATGGGTAGGTATGGAGGGCATGGGGGAGCTGGCAGTGGCCCACAGTCTTCCCCACCACAGCTTTGCCCCAGCTCTTGCAGCTTCACCCTTCATTTTGGTACCCAGGGCTGGCATGGGGAGGGCAAGTCATGTTGGCCATGCTGCATCCAGGGCTGAGCTCGCTGCCCACTCCTCTCCCTGGCAGCATCCACACTTTTCAGTACGTCATCTATGGCACTGCCTCCTTCTTCTTCCTCTACGGAGCCCTGCTGCTGGCCGAAGGCTTCTACACCACCGGCGCCGTCCGGCAAATCTTCGGGGACTACAGGACCACCATCTGCGGCAAGGGCCTCAGCGCAACGGTAACTGGGGGCCCGAAAGGGAGGGGAGCGCGAGGCCCCCAGCGAGCTCACTCGACACTCGTTGCAGCGGGTGTGTCAGTGTTTGGGAAAGTGGCTAGGACATCCTGACAAGGTGATCTTAACCGGGGTTTGGCACCCCTTCGCGCGCCCGCAGCGGGTTCACCACGCTCAGCGTGGGCAAAGGGCAGGACACGTCCGGTTTTTGGGGGTATCCCAAAGGGAAGCGCAGCCTGGACACCCTCCCCCAGGCTTGCTGTGACTCCTGGGGACCAAAACCAGCCCTAATGGCCACATTTAACCGCTTCATGTTTAAGCGTTGCTGGGGAGAGCTATGAGCACCCTCGCAGTGCCAGCCCCCAGTGCCCCCGGGGTTGTCCTCTCGCTAGGCTTGGGGACCATGACAAAGGGAGCCCGTGGCCTGGGGGAGCAGAGGGGGATGGCTGCGGTTCCCTTGGGGTCCGGTTGGGGTGGCACCAGGGAGGGAGGGCAGGAGAG